AGTCTAATCTGCATTTTCTTGCTGTATTTTCTGTAGTTCAGACCTCTAAGATACATACTCTAAAGAGCCACCTAGTGCTTTTTAAAGACAAGAGTATATTCATGCAAAGAAATAAGACATAAGAAAACACTTTGGGGAGTAAAAGAAAAATCTTGGTAGAAATTGGATTGCCTTGAAAATTATTTTTTAAAAAAGTATCCAGGAACTATCCAATAAATGGATATGAACAGTACTTATTTAGAACTATGCTATAAAGTTTTGAAAATAACTGAGGACAATTGGGTCATCCTGTGGGTTTTAACTTTAAGTTCTCAAATTCCTGTTTTTCCTCCTTTTTCAATTCATCATCATTGGCATAAAGTGATTGCTTTTATAGACATAATTTATATTTTCAAAGATAACTCTTTCAGGGCATGGTTCTTAGCCTATTTTGTTTTGTTCTCTTAGGTTAGAGATACCAATGATAATCTGATAAAAGCTACAGACACTTCCTTCATATAAATGCATATATAAATAATTTCTTACAATTTTGCTTTCATGTTTCATTTTTTCCTCCCTCAATTTGAAAACTACTGATCTAAGAAATTTGTTGTTGTGTAGCTGTGAAGTCATGTCAGACTTTTTTGTGACCCCCATGGATTGTAGTCTGCCAGGCTCCTCTGTCCCTGGGATTCCCAGGCAAGAATACTGGAGTGGGTTGCCGTTCCTACTCCAGGAGATCTTCTCAACCCAGGGGTCGAACCCCCGTATCCTGCTTGGCAGGTGGGTTCTTTACCACAGAGCCATAGGGAAGCCCGATATAAGAAATTAGAAGTTAGTGTTTCAGGGAAGTTAACACTGATAAAAATCATCAATAATAGGCCAAAGAATGAATGGAAAACCAAAAACTATCCTGTCCTTCCTATACTGCCTTGGATGTCTCCTCACTCACTCACTTTCTACCACCTTTAAAATCAAAAGGGGATCTTTAATACTCATAAAATAAATAACATAGGTAGCAAGGGTGGATAAGTTCATCCTTATGCTATCCAATGTATTGGAGGTCTGAGCCCCAATTTAACTGAAGTACATGTGCAGAAGGTATGAACGCCAAGAAGATTTTGAGGCAGCCTGACACAGGGGCAGGAGGATGTAGGAGTTTTTTATCCAAATTACTTGGAATCAGATGTCATAATGTCTTTGATGCACTAGAGTTCTTCATGTGAACCTGTCAAGGTTACGTAAGAACTAGTGATGATGCTAAAGCATGCCTGACATGATATATGTATTCATCCACTCACTTATTCATTCAGATAATACTTATTAAATAGCTACCATATGTCAGATACTTTTGTAACAGCAGTGAGAGGGGAAAAAAAACCCACTCATCACTTAAGAACAAATCAATGAATAATACCTACAGAGACTTAGAGGGGATATTCTAATAGATTCCACGAGGATTTTAAGATTGTTAACCAATCAGATCACCAGAAATGTCTTTGTTTGCTGGCTGCTTGCCTTTTGAAAAGTTAATAATGACAGCAAAACTGTACTACTCAAAATATTTTTGTGTCAGTATAAAAGTCTAAACTAAAGCTTAAGAAAATGTTTTAATAAGAGCAATCTGAGGTTTGCTTTACTATACTTGCTTTACTATAATCTGAGATTTAATGTTACTGATTACCAATGAATCATTTTTCTTAAGAGTCAGATTTATGATATGGCCCACAGTTCTCAAAAAACTTTCTTTTTTCAGTTTTATGCCTTAGAAAGGTCATTTGATTTCAAGTCAGAGTCTGCTCCCGTGGAAATCCAAGGATAACCTGGAAATTCATTTCCTTATGCCTGACCTCAGATAAGCTTTGTTTTTCTGATGAGATGTATATTAGCTTTTAGATTCCTTTGAAATTAATCCACAATACATTATCAAACATTCCATTTTTCAACTGCATCCTAATTTTATTGCTAGAAAGTATTTAAACTAGATGCTTTTTTTAACTTTTTAATTGAAGGATAATTGCATTACAAAATTGTGTTGTTTTCTGTCAGACATCAACATGAATTAGCCATCGGTATACATATGTCCCCTAAACTAAATGCTATGTATGTATGACATACACAGTTGATATACTCCATATCAATAGTAGTATCACTAACAGCAGTGAGAGGGGGAAGAAAACACCAATTCATCACTTATGAACAAATTAATAACTCCTCCAAAATTTTTATATCATTTTCATGAAATAGTTCTCCAATTACTTAAAAAATCAACTGATGTCTAAGTAGCTCACAGTGGGAAATGTGTGCACTTTTCGTTTGCCATCAGCTCAGTAGGCCTATAAAATCGCTTGTGTGGAGGTGCACTTCCTTGCTTCTTCTTCTTCTGTTGTTTAAAACTGAATGTGTTCAGATGTTATTACATCAATGAAGATTTCAGCCTTTTAAACATGGGTAACTTTATGCATTTTAATAGCATAAAGTCCTCCAAATGATCTACCAGGCATCTCCTTTAAGAGAAAATGACCAGCCAGGCCATCTGCATTAAAAATAAATGAAGTGTCAAAAATGGTTTAAACCGAAGTCCTAACCATAGCCAGTTCATAAGATATTTGGAAGATAATTTAAAGATTCACCATTTCACCACATTTTTCCCCAATACATCATGTCCTGCTTTTGATGTGCGCTTGACAGTACAGACTCTCCTAACGAATAATAGTAGGGGGCATATTCACACCAATCATTTCCCTTGACTCAAAAGAGTAATCCCAGTCTTAAGCATGCATCAGAATCACCAAGAAGAATGCTTAAAACACAGATTTCTAGGCCCTATTCCAAGAGTTTTTGGTTCAACAAGCTCAAGAAGTCACATGTCTTACAGAGTTCCTGGCTTACATAAACGGTGGGAAAATATTCATTGCAGGTGTAATATTTAGACCAAACTTCTGAGACGTGGTATGACAGGTAATTACACTCATTTACTTCAGGTAAGCTAAATTATTGCCTCTTTTGTTTTGGTTGTGAGAGCTTAACATGTATATTCACTTACCAGCATGTATGAGTCTTTTTCATGAAGATGACAGAAATATTAAGAATGGTATTGCTTGTAGGAGATCTATCCATTAATTACACATCAAGAATGCATTTAAATTTGAATGATTTCCACCCCAGAATATCAAGAAATCCTCTTTTCATTTGTTCTTCTTATTTTTATTATTATTATTCATTTCTAAATATTTTCTTGGCCATGCCACGCAGCATGTGGGATCTTATTCCCCAACCGGGGATCAAACCCATGCCCCTTGGGTTGGAAGCATGGAGTCTTAACCGCTGGACCACCAGGGAAAGTTCCTGATCACATGTGCTCAGGAATTTAGGAATAAAATTTAGGAATTTTATTAAATTCCTAAAATTTAGGAATACAAGAAGACTGAGTTTCAAAAAGAGTTAAGTCCCTCCGTGTCATGCAATTAGTAAAGGATGAGATTATGACTTCTATCAAGGCGGCTTTATTTCGAAGTCCATCACCTTAATGGCTATCTCGTTGTTCTATCCATGATTTATATTTTGTGCTATTTTCTGTTACTCAAGCTAAGTAAAATTATAAGACATTTCACAAGGTACTTAACAAGAGTAAAACACCTACCAAGTAGGAATATGTTCCATTTTTTAAAAATGGAGAAATAGAAAATGAGAGAAGTTATTTCATTTCTGCCTGAAATAATCTTGATATACTGCTTACCATATAGCATGTGGATGATAACAATGCAAAACTCCACAGCTATTGAAAATGTTCTTAAATTGTGGTTCTCATCTTATGTAGGCAATAAAGTCCAAGGCAATAATATCTTTTTCAAAACAAAAGTGATCCAATTTTTTTCTCTTTAATGATACCAGCAAAGTTGAATAGAACATAATTGTTCAAACAGACATGTTAGGCATCAAATTGTATTCTCTAAATTTCACAAACCTGAAAGTATTTCTGTGTTAATTTTTGATGGTAAATCTGATATCTCCTTGACAGGCATGCTTTGTAGGCATGTTTTTTTGGCAGAAATTATGTTGTAGCTATTTACTGTAGTAGTATAAGCTATCATTTTTACTCCATGAGTTGTTGCCCAGTGTTTCATACTGAAGTGATTAATATCACAAATTTATAAATATGAATTGTTAAGTGAATTCTCTTGACATCCCAAGGAACAACTTAGCACTAAGTGAATGCAGCTCTGCAAATGAAATAAGCACATCCAACTGGCCGATTCGGATATGTGTATCTGTCCAAACAGTGCTCTGCACAGTGGTCATTCTTCTAAGCCCTGTAATTCATTCATCTAGGATGCGCTCCAAAGCGCTGTTTGCATGTGTTATCCACTAGCTTTAAAAACAGTATTCATTATCGGGAGGGAAGAGAAGACACAACTCTTCAGAAAGGTGTGTGGCAGTGATGTTTGTGTCCAGGAACATGCTTTTTGGCACTTAGAGCCTAATCAGCGAAATGAAAGAGGAGCGGTGAGGATTCAAGATGTAAGTCCTTTACCTCCAATATCCTCCCAGAAGCCACACTACAATTCCTCTGTACAATTTCACTGTACAATTCCAAATTTCATTCTAGAAGCCTGCCCATACTCGAAGTGGAAAGAAACCTCTAAATGCCCAATGAAAATGTTTTCAAATACCCTGAAATTTGCTATTTCAAGCCACAGATGATAAATGGACACAAAGGTAATGACCTTAATTTTCATGAACTTATCAGAGTCAGGTTTCAAAGTGATGAATATTTCTCCTTATCCGTGGCACAAACCATCCATAACAACTTAGACAATGGAAAAGATTCCTTGGACCAAAGTATCACTCCATGAGAGGAATGTGCAATGATGTAAAGTAATTAGCCTCCAACTAATAAAAATAAATGGAAAAAAAAACCCAAAAAACAAAATGAAGTCACAGGAAAAAAAAAATAAAATAAAGGCAGTGCGAGCCCTCTGATGTCATCAGAAATGCTGACGTCAAGTTTTATGTTACAGGTCATTCAAACGGTGAGTGCCATGGACAAAGATGATCCCAAAAATGGACATTATTTCTTATACAGTCTTCTTCCAGAAATGGTCAACAATCCGAATTTTACCATCAAGAAAAATGAAGGTAAATATATTAGCATTGGGAAACAGGATAGGATATACATCAGAAAATAGGATGTGATTTCATAATTTCACTGAAAATATCAGCACAGTATTTTTTCTTCACCTATGAGCAGTTAAAATTTAGCTTATCAGCCTAAAGTCATGGTAATTGCATCTCTTCCTATTTTTCAAACAAACATGTGGAAATTGTGAATGTACAAGTTAATTTTATCCCAGGCAGTACTTCAATCACCTTACTTATAGGAAATGAACAATAAAGATTTAAACCATGTGAAAGTTCCAGTAATTTTAAGATACTGAGTTATCTGATAGAGGAGGAGCTGGCTTATACTTTGCAGTTGTTAAGTTTTAATTGAATGTTTACCAAGTCTTTAGGGAAAGCCTATTCTAATTTTGCCTGCTTTGTGGGTACACATTAGAGGTATTTGTTTTAAGCCTGTACCAACTTTGACAACAGCAATTAGATCTGAAAATCCTTCTTGAAGGACACTCCTTATCAGTGTTATTTTGGTGCTAATATGAACTGATTTTATTGTTAAGTCTTTTACTCACAGAGAACATTTAATCCATTTCATTATTTGTTAAGAACCAAGCTCAGATTAACTATTTCCCTTAACTATTGTCCATTACTCAGGAAGGTCATAGATCATTTTTTAAAAGTCTATCTCATCTATACATTTTTCTTTTCTAAGCTGCAGTATATTTAACAAGGATTTTTAGCTATTTATTTTGGCTCAGATGCATTTAAGTCTTCATTTCAGATGTTTCACAGAATGATTAGCAAAATAAATGTGTTGTCAGGGTCTGTCTTCTGGCTTTATTATAGGCATTTGTTTAGATTTATGAATGGTCTATGTAAAAAAAAAATCTATACTCAGTTGGAAGAGTAAAATCTGGTTCATGACATTTGGATTACTTGCTTTGTTCTGTTTCAAGGAGGTAGTGAATTTTGATAAAGCTTCGCTTATGAAGTGAAATAACATATATGGCCCTTGTTAAAGTATATTCTGGCCTTACCTTTTAACAAAATGCTACTTGCTTCTTTGGGCATCATGAATGCATTACGGAAAAGGAAATGAGAAAGCTGTTATAAAGATATTACTCATTCAGCTGGCTTCCACTGTTGCAAATATTAAGGAGATGAAATCTTGGTCTCTCTCCTCAGTGATGGAGTTAAATGTGTTAGCCTCCCTTAATTAGAAGCTCTAATCCAAGTACATTGTTTTTGTCTTTTGGGTAACTCTGCCAACATTTCTTTTTTGTGGAAGTCACATGACTATGCCTAAGATGAGAGCCCCCTTGGAAATTCCAAACTGAGCTGAAAGTCTATGCAAAAGTATGGGCAATTCTTACTTTGATTGTGAACTAACAGGTATCAGTCATTATTTTTGCATATCAAATGTCCTACATTTAAAATTTCTCTGTGAAGAAATGTTTTCCCATCCCAGGTTCTGAGCTCCTTGGTGCTTTCTATGCATTCTGCAATTCAAGATATGCCCATTATAGGTATGGCTCAAAGATACTGTATAAACATGTGTTGGATGAATGAAAGGCTGTTACTTCATGCCTGTGAAAGTGTGGTTTTGTACTATATATTTATTATGCCCTAAACCCTTTAAAGATGAGATTTTAGTCCTAAGGTGAATGCATTTCAAGTGTTTTCTCAAACTTTTAGAATTAGTACAAAGTGGAAGCTTGTGCATCTAGGAAAGCTCTTCGTGCTCCATCACACATTTCAATAAAACTTGCAGTAAAATATTAAAGATATGTGGATTATGTTTTCTCTTGAAACTAGAAAATAACGACTTAAGTTTTGACTTACCTCACAAATGTGTGAAATAATTGCAAGAAAAAAAAATGGTCCTAGGTATCACAAAAGTGCTCAGAAGAGAAAGAACACTCTCTGTGCCATGATTGTTTATATAAAATTATGTGTTGATTTATTTTGTAAAGAGTGGCCATATAATTTATTGTTCCAATTGGGTTTTTTTTTTTTTAAGTGAAAGGGGTTGCTATTTATATTTATGTCTAGAAAAACGATAAACCAGGGCTGTCTTGTGGAATGTAGGACATATGTTCTCTGTGACTTTGGATTTAGAATCCAGATATTCAACATCTCCATAGAATAAATCATGAACCCACAGGTCTTTATAACAGATATGTCAAGTTTATACACTATCTCTCTTCCTAGATCAGAAATTCATTGAGTTTTGTTTTACTTTTTTGGATAGTTTCTAAGAAAATAGGAAATAAACCACAATTTGTCTACTCTTAATGTGTAGAAACCATTAAAATAATGGAAAGAAGTTGTCAGATTTGAAATGCTGGAGATACATTGATAAGAAGGTAGATAAGATGATGTCTTGTGAGCCTGTTACCCATTCCTTAAGATGATAAGGGAACACAAAACAACCAAAAAAAAAAATTCAAATATTAGACATCATTTACTCTAAAACTATGGTATGTTTTATGTTTGAAACATGAGAAAATCAAATGATAAACTCATATTCAGAATGGTTTTTTTTTCTTCTTCAAACTGACTTTAAAATGGTCAATAGCTGTTGTTTCTCCACTGAAAACATCAGGATTTACAAGTCCCAGCCCACCAGATAAGGGTTAATATTTTGAGAGGGGCAACATAGTCAAATCCATAATTGATGGGTGGATGGCTCCTCTTATTAACTGGATCTTTAAGGGAGATGGTTTCAGTATTTGGCATTTTCTAAGAAACTTGCAGCATGTCTTTCAGTTTGAATTTACTATGATCTTTCTCTCCTCTCATATAGCTTGGTCCTTCTGCAATTTTCAGCTGACTAATTCATAATCAAAAACAAAATGAGATAGAAATTAACTGTCTCTTGTCTCCTATGCAGTTGAGTGATTTCACAAATAATTCTCTTTCTGAATATATGAGAATTATATTCCTGCCAGAATAGGAAAGCAAACTTCAACACAGATAAAGGTGAAAACAAAGGTCAAAAATGTGATGAGTCACTCATCACATATACACACTAAACAACCACAACAACTTACATCTTCTCAGTTATACAGCCCCAGATATTGTTTTCTTCATCTTCCAGTTGGATGAATTTATAAACAAAGGGAGTGTGACTGACTGCACTTTAGTACTGACTTCCATCCTAATTGTGAAAATGGAAGATACTCAACAATTAACTGTAACAAGTCAGGGAAGATAAATGAACTTCCCCCAGATACAGAAACATCTTGAATGCAGAAAGTCTGAGGCTGACAGAAACATGATTTTCTCTAGCCTGCACACTGGAGTTAAAAGATTTGATGGAAATTGCCAGAAAGCTAGCTGGAAAAATGGGAGTCTTTACTAAAATATTTGAATCACATGTGTAGCGTAATGAGAATGAACAAAAAACTCTGTCCTAAAGAGGGTGTGTGGGAAAGAAAGACATAGACTTGGCCTCAATTATAGCTTGATTAGACTACTGGTTAGGAAAAACAGTGGGGAAACCAGAGTTATCTGATGACACTGTTTTTGTTTCTTTTGATGACTCTTCATTAACCAAAATTCTATTAGCAAGAACCTCACTCTAAAAGACATGATTTTGATAATTAATTTGGATAATGGAGATGCTGACTGGAGCTTTGAAATAAGTGTACCTTCAGTTATCTCAATATACATTCCATAGTTACCTGTTTAGAGTATAATTCATGTTTTGTTTGGCAGGGTTTCCATCTCAACTCAATGGCCAACTTCACTATGTGTTTCACATCTTTTGATCCTCTAGAAACCTCCCTTGTGAGAATACTGACTGCAGACAAGTTATTTTAAGCCTCAGTTTTCTCATCTGTGATACCAAGGATAACACAACCTATCTACCCCTTAGGTGTGCTTTGATGAATATGAGTAACTGATGGCTTACAGAGCTATTATCCCAATGTCTGGCACATAGAAAAATACTCATCATGAAGTGGGACAAGATCCTATTTACATGAATCCATTAATTCCTAAACGCCCATGCTATGTTCCATCTCTTCTGGTTTACTGTTCTCAAACAGGTCTCTTTGCAGCTTTAATTCTGTTGATTTTTGAATGTTGCACAGTAGTTCTAAAATTGGCCTCGTTTGGTAGCTGTGAAAACCATGATCCTCACTAATATGCTTTGCAATGCACTGCCATCTAAAGGGTATCATCAAAGAAACATAATAGGGAAAGAAATAGGAAGATGGGAAGGTAGGGAAAGAATGAAGATATTTACCAGCCACAAAATTGCTGGGATTCCTGTATCTGGTTTTAAATATGCAGGCTTTTTTTTTCCTTTCTTTCTTTCTCCTTTGCCAACATGAAACTCAGCTTTCTCCACACAAAGGCTAATTCCAGTTTCCAACTTGTTAAGATGACATTCCATTCTAGCATATCAAGTTGTCTTAAATTCATCTACTACCTCCCAAAACAGACTCTACTGGAATCATTTTGTATAAGCTGGAAAATTAACCACAGTCTTCCTTTGCTCTTTTGAATAATACCAACTTAATTCAGAAGCCTCTTGTCCCCAAACTAAAATTTACTGCTTGGAAGTGGGTTTCCCTCCTTCTAAGGCAGCCTGAGCTGGTCCTCTGCTCTCCACCCTCTCTCCAATTGAATCCTCAGGAACACCTCTCCTGTGTTCAGGAGGTAGGTTTCCAGGCAGAGTTCCTCTTTCCTCCCTTTTAAGCCACTCTACCCCATCTGGGCTGAATTAGACCTGAAAGGCCTTCCTGATGATCCACACAGCAAAGAGGACCACCCTGGTAAGCCGATTGTCCTCTTTCTGGCCACTTTGAGTCTCATTAAATTCTTCCATTACACGAAGCTGCTTTGAAACTAACAGAGGACTTTCCTAAATAGCATCTCTTTCCTCAAGTGTTCTTTACAAAAGCCTCCATCCCTCAGCGACAGTGGACTCATTATTATTGGGTTACTCTGGCAACCATACCTAAGCAACAAGTGAACAGTGTGTGCTTGTGTGTGATAATGAATACCTATCC